GCAAGGGCGGTCCCGCGCCCGGGGCGGTTCCCTGCGGGGCGGGCGGGGCCCGACGGGCGCTCGGTGTGGCCTTGGCCATGAAGCCGCAGCCGCCGGGCTAGGCCCCGGGCGGCTCCAGCCAGGGCTGCCCGCGGAGGGCTGGGCCCGGCCCCGGCTCCGGTTGGCGGGCCGGCGGGGCGCTCACCATGCCCGGCAAGCACCAGCACTTCCAGGAACCCGGGGTCGGCTGCTGCGGGAAATACTTCCTGTTTGGCTTCAACATTGTCTTCTGGGTGAGCGCGGGGTGGGTGTCGGGCCCTGTGCCGGGGTGACGGGAGGAGGTTCCGTCTCCTCCTGCGGGGAGACCACTCCCTGCCCCAGGGCTGAGGACGCTCTCCCCACTCCTAGCTGCCGGCCCACCCCCGGGACCGGCGGAGGGAGCTGCGGGGAAGCCCAGATTGCAGGGGGCGGTCCCAGCCTCCGCCGCCGGGTGTGGGGACCGGGAGTCTTCAAGGCTCGGCGGAGAAGGGGCAGGACACGCGTGGTCCGAGTGCCCTTCCTCCTGCCCAGCTCACTTCGATGCCCTGGGGTGTGGGGTGCACGCTGAGCCCCAGCCCCGGTTTAGGGAAGAGTCTGCCGAGAAGGGAAGGGCAGGGTCTCCTTTCCTGCCCCCTTGCTCCCCCTCCCAGCACCTGGCCTGGCACCTCGCCTTCAGCTCGGGCCAAGTGGGCTGGGTCAGAGCCTCCACCCCAGCCCCTCGCTGGGAGGTTTTCCGGGGAAGGGCCAATAGTCAGAGTCCTGGGGAGGATCTCCCCATTGAGTGGCTGGGAGCTGGCCCTGGGGAACAGGATTCTACATTCCACGGCGGACCAAACCGAGGCTCCAGGGTGGGGCTGCCGCTGCCCTGAGGAGGGAGCTGCTGGTGCCCCTCCCAGGTGGCATCTGTGCCCCTGGGCCCGGCCAAGTCATCTTTCCCTCTCCCTCCCCCATCTCATCTCCCCAAGGCGCTGCTGCTCGCAGCTCTGCTCTGCTGCGTGTCAAATGCCAGGCCCATTCAGCTTTT